AAATACATTCAACTAAAATTATATATTTATTGTTGAATAATAACCACTTGTTATGAATCAAAGTTAYTTATGCCAACTTAAATATAATTTAAATAGTTAAAACATATATTTTCAATCAAAAAGACATGGATACGAATCTCCCCTCGTTGTTATGCTATTAAAGTAAAGTTTCAAATTCTATGAATGCTATATTTTTTCGAAATAAAAAAACCAAAACTATAATTATTATTGGACGTGTGCAAAAAAAAGACCAAAAAAATAATGTTCTTTTTCCCCTGTTTGCAGACCAAATATTTGGATCCAAAATGAGCCCAAACCCAGCAAAGCCTCAATAATTGAATTAGGCYCAAGCCCATCCTTTGCTGATCCATTCAGCCCGTGGTTCTACCGTTGGAGAATTTGTGCCGTTGTCCCCATTATTCTATTGTTTAAAAAAAAAAAAAAAAGTCGTTTTTTTGGCCTAAATAGAAATGCTCTTAAACTAAGAATTAATAACTTCTATCTAAAGTACTTCTTTCATGAGTACTCTTTATAAAAAGATTTTTTTTATTATTTTATTCTAACATTTAAAATTATTTATTCATCATTAACTACAACTACTTTTTTTTTCTGAATAATCAATATTTATTCACCAAATTAATGAAAACAATTAATTAAAAAATGAAACAAGTGAAAATAAATTGTGTAGATAGAAATTAGCGAGGAAAAGTGAGTAGGTAATAAGGAGGAGAAAGTTGCATTAAGGTAGAGAGAAAAATTAATTGTATGCATAGGAAAATTAGTGATAAAATACCTATCGAGAGAGAAGTGGACGAGAAGAACATAATATTTCAAGGTATATAACAAAAACAAAAATAAAAAAGAGTAGTGAGAAAGTTTAGAGACTAAAAAAGCTAGAATTTAAACTTAATAGATATGTTTGCCTCATAATTTCGATAAGGCTCGGTTTTAGTGTAGCTTGAGTTGAAAAACTTTGATTTATATAGTTGATAGCTCATTTTAGAGTAGAGTAAGAGACGTGAATGGTGCGAATTTGAGTTTATATAACTTATATTTAGTTTTTGAGTTTGTGACGAATGTAGAAYTTAGGAGGTGTATTTATAAAATTTATATTTTTATAATTGAGATTAGCATACTCAAACAAATATGAATAAACTCATAACATAGCATAATGAATGAGTCAAATGATATTTTAATTTTTATACCACTCTAAAAAAATGTACACATATTTTAAATAGAAGGATTAACCAAACACTAATTTAGACGTAATGTTTCAAATGTCAATGTGGATAAAAATATTGAGATCTTAATTATATGGAAATGTTGATAGAAATATTGATAAAATTAATATCAATGTCAATAGACATTTCTAGAAAGTTAAAAAAAAATTATAATAAACAAGCATTTCACTCTTTTAAAATGAGTTAAAATTATTAATATTGATATTACATTCCGTGATATTTTTTTAATATATTTTATATTTTGTATTTTGTATTTTTTGTTTAACAGTACTATGGAAATATCGACATGTCAGTATAGAAATTTAATGCCCTACTATATTTCATGTTTGGCTGATCTACACTCCCCCATCAAGCACTTGAGTATCCCTATACATTTTTCCACTAAACACTTGAAGTTCTTTTTTACTTTTAAAGAGATACGGTAATTTTAGACAGAACGTTTTTAGTCGTGACAAAAACGTTTGAAAGCGCCCAATCATCGACTAAAACATTAATACACAATAGAAAAAATAAAAAAAGTGATGTGACCATTCTATCTTGATTTGATTGATAAACTTTATGAAATTTGTCTCACCATTTAATAAGCAAAACATTGGTGTGTGAATTTACATTCAAAGGGCACATTAACTCACACCTCATTAAATGACAAGTTTAGGGTTTTGGTGGGTTGTTTTGCCATAGGTGGGGTATGATTTTTAATACATGTCAAATCCTTTCACAGTCAAATCAACCTCCAACAACCAAAAAAAAATGTTTCGACATTTCAAATTTATGAGTTTCTTTTCTCATTAAACTTACACCAACTCTCTCTTTATTTCTTACCATTCAAAAATGTCCCTTTTCCCCTTTTTTCTTCAACATTGTGACATTTATATCTCCAAGGTGATAAAGATGTTTTGTTCTTCCTTTTTATGATGTAACTTGAAGCTTAGTAGGTGAAAGGGCTAGAAATTGTGTGTTTTTGTTTGGTTTGATGAGGAAAAAACATGTTTCCACTCAGGAAGAAGTAGAAATTTGGGCTTAAAAAATGCACGTATGTGATTATGATAATTTTAAGGTTAAATTATAAGTTTTGTTCTGGAATTTTGAGCGTAGTGTTTAGTAGATTTGTAAATTTTTAAAAGTGTTTAATAGATCTCTGAACTTTCAATAACGTGTCTAATAAGTCTATCTTTTTAAAATGTCTAAATATTCATGAACTTTTAATTTTATATCTAATAGATTCTTAATTTATGTTACATTTTTTTAAGTTAGAAAAATTGTTGGATTCAAAATTAAAAACTAGGGACTTATGAATATTTTTCATAATTGAAGAACGTATTAAATACATTATTGAAAATCATCCTGGTTTAGCTTAATAGTCAATAGGGGTAATGTAAACTGTAAAGGAGCTTAGAGGAAATAGATTCAAATCATGGTGGTCACTTATCTAGGATGTCTTGCTTTTCCATTTAAATATAAAAACACGTATGCTTGAATCTTCGATCGCTTATCTATTTAATTACGCTCGGATTAACACGTATGCTTGTGTGGTAATAAAGTAGTGGAGTGGGAAAGAAAACATCATTGAATACATCGATGTCGATGGAAATATGATAAAATGTCGACGATGATAGATATTTTTGAAAAGGTTATAAAAATAATTGGAAAATCATAAAAGCTAATTAAGTTTAACGTTATGTTTATATTAGTGAAATTTTGTAGATATTTTCCATATTTTATAGATTTTTTTTTGACACCTTTCATACTATGTCAAGATACATGAAAATATCTGATAGGAATAATACTCTTTATTTAATATAAGTGTGGGTCCCAAAATAGAGTACTAAAAATTATGACACATAAAATTTTAGTTTCTTAAATCTTAAATGTGTGAAGGTAAAATATGACACGCACCCATACCTCGCCCGACAAATCTCTAGCCTTAATTGTCCCCAAGCTGGGGCTCACCTACAAAATGTGTCCGTTGGTGGCTATTTTTTGCATGTTATAAAGTATTATTTAAGAGAGTATCAATTACGGCATAGGAAGAGGTACCCGTTCAATTTTGACGAGTAGACGAGGTGCGACCTTAAGCAAATAGAACATATAAAAAGAAACAAATATTTCGACAGTCAAGTCACAGTAGAGCACAAGTATAAGCAGGCGTTTTTAGAGTAGAATTGGGTATCTGAATGAGTGACTGAGCGTCCCTTTTATAGGTAGTGGAAAGTAGAGACTGTAGGAACTACTCCGATCGACGATTACGAGCTGTTGGGTCTGAGGTCAGAGTTCTTCTCAGTTTGGTATCAAATAACTTGGTTCATTCTCCGATTGGTTTATGGTCTTCAGCTTGGCCCCAAGGGTAGGTTGATCTTTCCCATTGAGTTATTGGACGGATCTAACAATACCAAGCTAACTTGATTGGTCCACGTGTCATGTTGTATTTTTCCACCCAACAATCTCAAACGTAAAATAAAGTCTAGAGAAATACTAGCATATATACTCGTCTGATTCATAAACTTAAAAATGTGAAGTAAAATGTCCAAAGAGGTAAACTATGATATATGATCGTTAAGACTATATGTGAAAAATGTATATGTGAAGCGCCGGGAACAAACACTGCAAGATTTGAAATGTTATAGGTTTTATATTTACCTTTACATTAAGAAAAATCGTTTATTTATTTTTACTTGTTAAATTTTTATATTGTCTTAAATATAAAATTGTGTGATGTGTACTGTGAACTGATTCACAAATTTAACATCAACGGAAGTTTAAAATGAATTTTTACGTAAAATAAAAAATTAAATTAAATATAAAACTTAGAGACAAATATGATTTAATTAAATGTTAAATTATAAATTTGGTCTCTCACATGTTTTAATTAGGTACTAAACTTTCAATTTTTAATTAAAATCATTCAATCGTTGATACGATAGCACCATTTGAACGTTGATGTGACATATTATAATCAATTAAGTATAAAATTATAAGTTGATTGAATAAAATAAAGATGAATGAGGGAAAAAAAATCAATTTTAATGTACCATCGTCCTTCTTCCCAAAAAATTTGTTGGCTTGCTCTGTTTGTGTCAAATTATCATACTTTAGTCCTATCGTCATACTTTAATCCCATCGATCGTGTATCGTGTTTATTTATTATTATTTTTTTTAGCAAAGATATTGTAGGTCATGTTAAAATTTATATTGTCAAAACGAACCTAGGTCAACGATAATTGACATATATCTCAAACTAAGAAACTGTGAGTTCGATCTCTCACCTCCACATCTTGTACTAAGAAAAATATTTTCTTGAACTAAAAAAAAAGAACTAAATTAATTTTTAACGGATGAGAAATAACAATTAAATTTAAGATGAGTTTGACATATCTTCTCTATAAAACGTTTTTTAAATAAATAAGTTTTAATTAAAATGTTTGGATGTTTGGTTACATTTTTTTGAAAGTGATTTTAATCCTTAGTTTATTTAAAAGTGATTCCATAAATGCTAAATTATTATAAGCTAATTCTCACTGGAGTTATATTTTTAGATAATCAACTCTAGAATAACTTTGAAAAATCACTCTAAGCCAATTTGACCGTTTCAAAACTAATTTTTACTTAAAAAAATTACTTATAAAGTTAATCAAAAGTTCCAAACACACTTTAATCTTTAACTTAATGACTGAAAAAAAAAAAGCAAAAAACTTTATCCGATAAAAGTCTGTAGAAAAGGTGGAGCGGTGGCAAACAAATATAGAGTAGAGTTCAATTATTTCCCCTTCTTTATGCGCACACCAAAGTCTCAACAACATCAGCGGCATATAAAATCGATCAAAATGAATGTTTGGAGCTGCAAGCAACCCAATTTGGTTCTTCTTCTTCCCCTCTCTCTCTCTCTCTAGTCGATTTTCGCATCCTCAACTTCCTCCGAGCGGAAGGGAGTGAAATCCGGTGGTTCTTCCTTTTTCCCGTCCCTCCCTTTTGGATGTATCTGCTCTGATTGAGAGAAACGGACATGGTAGGACCTTCCAGACCTCAGTTTGTTCTTTTTGGATCTTCTATTACTCAGTTCAGCTTCTCCAATGGCGGCTGGGGTGCCATTCTCGCCGATGTTTATGCTCGCAAAGTAACCCCTCTTTCCCATTTTCTGGGTTTGTTTGTTTTCGTGTTGCTTTGAATTGTAAAACCCACGTGACAAATCCCACCAATTTGGTCATTTTGTTTTATTTCATCATAATCTGTTGAATACCTAAAATGAATGGGAGATTGTACATGGAAGTTGTTTGGTTGCTTTTGATGGTTCTCTGGTGAGGTGAAGCCTGGCGCCTGAAAACAGAGTTTCTTCTCTGTTATTTCGTTGACTTTTTCAATTTTAGGCAGTGGGATTTCTTTTCTTTCTCTTGTGATCATTTGGAAAAGTTACTGAGAATTCATTGTATAGTTTGGTGTTTTCTCACTTCATGGAGGTGGGATTTTCTCAACCTGCAGAATGATTCTTTTGTTCATTGTGATGTATTTCAAAACGATGTAACATATCATTTTCAATACATAAATGTCTAGGTAATGAAATTACATGTGCAAGTCTTGGTGAATGTTGCTGCTGCTGTCTTTTCTTATATATTTATAAAAAAAATACTAAGGTATGATGATCAGAATAACTGCTGTTTAGCTGGATTGAAAACTTTGGTACCCCATTCATAAAAGAGATGGATCTCTTTAGGTTGCACCCCTCTTTAGATTGTTCTATTTCTCCTTTTGAGAGACATTCTGATGGAGTTAGAACGTTCTGGAATACTTATTTATTTCATTTTATCTCATTTTGTTTTCTATGTTGGGTGGGCTTCATTCTGTTTACTGTTTAGGCCCATTTAGATGCCTATATAACCTCAAACTTCTTGTAAACCTATAGCCAAGTCTTTCCCCTGTACATTTTTAAATAAGTTCAATAATATTCAGATTTCAGTAATTGGATTACTCTAGATTCTTAGCCGTCCACCGAGAGTTAACGCCCCATGGATCATATAATGAACTCCTTTAGATCCTTGGTTTCACCTGGTTGGGTTGGTTGGGTTGGGTTAGAGTTTTGCTTTCCCCCGAACATAGTAAATGTTACCGCTGCACTACCTAACCTGTTGAGACAATATGAGTTTATTTGTATAGTTAATTCAGTTAAACTGTTAATTTTAGTTAATTAATTTTTCAATTAGAATTTAGGATTTCATTGCAATTTCAAATTATTTTTGTAGGGCTATAAATAGCCTCATTTAGGTTGTAATAGGAGACTTTTTAAAACTATTTAAATGAAATTATGAGTATTTTCTCTCCATATAAAGTTTGTTATTGTTCTTGAGATGGATTTCCCACTGCATCACTTTTCGACGAAGAGAGTCATTATGTCTAGTACATTCATCACCTTTTCCACTAAAGCCTACGATATACCTGTTAATTTTTGCCTCTTTTTGCATCTGCATTTAAAATTTTAAATGAGTAGAAACTCTTAACCTCCAGTAAGAGAAGTGAGATGATCTAACATGGGGAATGAACATGAAATTGATGGTAGTGCTAAAGGCTTTAAGATAAAGCAGAGAGTGTGTTTTCAGACAGAAATAAATTTACTGCTGTTTGTAAATGAGTTTGCTATTTTGAAGTTCCCATATGAGTCTTACTCTAAGCTTTGTGACAATTTTTATCTTGAATCTATTTCCTTTCAGGCAGATATTATTCTACGAGGTTACTTAAGTTGGAACTCTCGCCGTGCCGTACAAGTTCTTGATCAGATTTTTCCAAAGGTACTGCAATAAACGTTCAAGACTTTAAAGGTGTTTGTTTATATTCCAACATAATCTTTAACTTTTGTTATATTGTTTGTCTAGACACGTCTCTTCTTAAGAATGTTAGAGCAGTATGGTTTAAAAATTTTCCTGTTGTATAAATTACTAAAAACTATTCTTATGAACTATATACTATTAAAATTTGTTATAAAATTGTGTGTATGTCTGTGTTTTCATTTATGAATTATAATTACACCATTGACATCTTTACATTATAATATAATAAATGAAGTATTAATTTCATGTGCAAATTTAGTATTAATATTATTAAACAATTGAGTTTTCAATCACTTGAGGTATAAGAGACACTGGAAAAATGACTGTGAGATATCATTTCTTTATCTTTTGGTTTATTTAAATACCATAGTTTCATTACAAAAACATTAAAGTTGGACATTCCAAATTTTTATTTGATAGGAATGTTACAATACCACTTTTCTATGTAGAATAAACTATAGGGATGGATGCATATGAGAATGCTACTCTGTTTTTTTTTTTTAAAAAAAAGAACCTTTCATTAAACATCAAAGAGGAGATTTATAAAAAGAAAAAAGGGTGATGAGGCAAGGGCAAAGAGATTACAAAAAAGCTCTCAAGTTGTTCAAAAGTGAATAATTACAAAAAAACCATGGATGAGAGATTCCAACTTGCAAAGTGTAAAGAGAGGTCAAAGTTTCTTTCCTCATTTTTGGAAGATTCTTCCATTCCTTTCCATTAAAACCAAAAGCTCCTATAAAAAACAGAAAAGGGTGGATTTAATCCATAAAACTTCAGCCTTGCCCTACAAAAGGACACTCCAAAAAGGAGGACGACTAGAAACTCTTTTGTGGGTAGAGGATATGGTAAATTTGGCCCCAGAATCTGCATTATGCAGTGGCAGAATTGGAAGACATGATTACTATGTTCCTTGCACCTTTTTACATAGGACACACCCAGAAAAGGGGATAGTGAACAAATGGAATCCCTCTGCTGGTTTTTCACTGCAGTATGAGAATGTTACTTCTGATGGCATTCTTCCTCTTTTTTTTCCTTCTTTTTTCCCCAAGCTTATGTATGTATTCCTAGACTAATTTGAACAACCATTTGACACTACAATATTTAGTTGTTGGAGAACTGGTAAGATATGGCCATCATATAGTTTGAACCCATACTTTCGGTTGCATCCTTAGAAACGATATTAAATTCCTATTGTGTCAATTTTCTTATCAAGAAAATGTCCGAGAGTATTAGTAGATTAGGGGGAAAATTTTATTATATAAATCTATCTTCATGTCTCAAAGCAAAGTTTACTATATTGCCAAAGATACAGCTTAGATTTGTTACATTAGGGAAAGTCCTTTTGACTTTGTATAGTTTTACTGCTGTACAAATATACAAACTCTTGTTTGATGAAACAAGATACTGTAAAGATTGTATAAGAAATCTGACCCTCACACATTTACCTTTGATAGATTCTACATGATAGATTCTACAGTAATGCTTTTGTTCACTCTTGGTTGGTGTAAATATTTTTTCTTTCCTTTTACAGATTATAGCCTAAATGACCTTTCAAAAAACTGGGAGGTCTTTTTGTAAATCAAGTTGCTCGGGAGCTTTATCTGTTTCGTATATTTCATCTCATCAATGAAATATCTGTTTCTTTTTTTTTAGAAAAAACAAAAACATGCCAATCAAGAAATGCAAAAGGGGAAAGGAGTTGGGTATATCCCCAAAACAGGTGGGGGTGTGTATGAGAAAATAGGACTATTCCCAATAATCACAAGTTCACAACTTTACCTCCTAATGCCATCAATGTGGGATGGTACTGAGTTTAAATTGTAATCAATGTTCCTACCTTCATTAGCCTGATGGAAATACCGAAATCTAGCACACGTTCAAAGGAGATGGCATTATGCTATAATTTCTCATACTTACGACTCTCTTACGTTGTGACTTAGTTATGTCACGATTTTGTTTTCAACTTTTATTGATAAATTTGAATTATCTCGGTATGAGGCTGGTCTATGTAATCTAGAGACGTTAGCTAGATTAATATCGATATTTCTACATAGGCAGGTTTTTTATAAGATGTACTTAACCATGTTCTGACTTTAATAGTACTTGTTCTTTTTCCTTATCTTCTTCTTATCGTTATTGGTGTTTTTTTTATATTGTTGATGCCACATTACATATTTATTTATTTTTAATCTCAGGATGCTGCGGCACAGCCTTCTTTGGTTGTAGTTTATTTTGGTGGTAATGATTCAATGGGTCGTCACACGTCCGGCCTTGGCCCTCATGTACCGTTTCCCGAATACATTGAAAACATGAGAAAAATTGCAACTCATCTCCAGGTATTTCCAAACAAAAACTAGATATTAACTCCATCTCTTTTGCCAACTAAATTGACCCTTACAAAGAATTCTTGGACACGAAATTAGTAGGCGAAAATATTCAATAATACTCTTCCTTTTCTGATGTAACTACTGTTGATGTGTATTCTGACACAAATTCTTAAAAAAAAAAAAAATCAGAGCCTTTCAGATAAAACGCGCATTATCTTTTTAACATGCCCCCCAGTGAACGAAGCCACAATTCATCAAACTCAAAGGTGCTCAACGCAATTCAACTATTTTTTTCTCGCGTTCTTTTATTTATTTTTATTTTTTTATGCTAAGAAAGTTCATTTGTGGTTATGCAGCAAGTTTCTTACTGAACTGGTGAGAACAAATGAATTGTGCAAAGCGTATGCCGAAGGTTGTGTAAAGCTGTGCCAGGAGATCGGTGTAAAAGTTGTCGATCTTTTTACAGCCATCCAGAAAAGAGACAATTGGATGAACGTTTGCTTCACGTAATTTCGTTTTGTATATTGATCCTAATTCATCTTCTTTAATCTGATTGAGAATTATAAACTCCCACTTTCTGGTCTGTAAGTTTTAAGCGATTGAAACACGAGTTTTTCGTTCTAGTTTGAAGCGATTCTGTTTTCCCATTTTGGCAGAGATGGAGTTCATTTGTCAGCTGAAGGAAGCAAAGTAGTGGTGGAGGAGATTCTAAAGGTTCTCAAGGAAGCTGAATGGAAGCCATCTCTGTTCTGGAAGTCCCTTCCAACCGAATTCGCAGAAGACTCACCCTACGATCTCGTTGCAGCTGATGGCACACGAACAGTGAATGGGTCAGATTGGATCATTCACCGTGATATTATGTGGGATTAGCTTTCTCATTGACCTCTGTTTTCGCCACCCCCATTGCAGCTGTCTTAGAGAAATAAAACCTGATAAAAAATGGCAGACAGGCAAGAAGAACATCAGAGAAGAGTGCAGTACTTCAGGTATTTTTCATTGTTGCAAGTACTAGGATCAGTAAAATTTAGGATTAAGTAGACAGAATGTTGTCTTAGAAATTAATGATAAAATCTTCATCATAATAAACAGCATTTCTGCTGCTTAATTTCTGTACTGAAACATCATGCAGAGCAAAAGTAGGATCTTATCTTTTTGCCTTTTTATACAAATTAGTCCCATTAACATGAAATTTTTTGTTTTGTTTTATGCTTATGGGAGATATATATTTGAGAGTGATTTTAACTCGCTTGATTTAATGTTTAAAATGAATAATAAATATGTGGAAATTATGGTATTAAATATCCGTCGACATGTTGACATTTCTATCGACACCTACATGTATCTATAGGTTTGACATCGATATGAGGGATAAATCAATATTTCCATAATATTAAATGAAAAATTGACAAAATATCAAAAAAATGTCACTAATATAAACATGATATTAATATTAATCATTTTAAACTTATAACGATGAAATATTTATTTGTTAATTTATATATTTTCATTAATGTTTTATTTCTATAACTTTTCTATAAATTCCATCTGACATCATTTTATCAAAATTTTCATTGACATTTTCATGAAATCAAGATATCAATATTTAAAATCTGGTTATTTAAAATCTGGTTGGAAATAAGATGTTTGAGAATTAAAGATGATTGTCTTTTGGATTGTGTATGAAAATATTATCATATTTCATGAATAAATGATGTCTGTGTATGGTGTTGGATGAAAATATTATCAGATTTGCATATAATTAAATAATATTTGTGTTTGGGTCGTGCAATTATTTCAACAATTTTATACAATTATAATTCAAATTAACCAAAATTACTTTCACAGTTAATTTGCCTGAGTTAATCAATCTTGATATTATCCTAAAAGAGTGATTTTAATAAAATTATATAAATTTGTAATTGTAATTAATTATTACAATAATCAAATTGAAGAATGAATGATAAATGTTATAAATAAAAAATAATCAAATTGTTGGAATTCAAATATTATTGTGCTTTGGTTTTGCATAGTAAATTATTTGATATTTCATCTTTAATCTCTCATGATATTATTTCACTCATTAACTCCTTTCTGCAAACACTTCTTTTTTTTTTTCCTAATTTTAATTGTTTTACGTGTTTCATTATTATAATTTTCAAAGAATTTTATTTAAGTAAATATTAATTACTAAGAAATATGTCTAATTAAATAAAAATATACTTCTAAAATACTAAAGTACTTTCTCTCTCGAAGAACTTTTTTTTTTCTAATAAGAATAACTCTCCGTATAAACTAAATGTGATATAATATGAATAATAAATTAATAACTACATTGATTTCAATTTTTTTCCTTAGTGCAACCATTTGGAGATAATAGAAGATCCAACATTCAATCTCGAGAGAAAAATATATGAAACTATGCTCATGTTGGGCCAATATTGACTTTTCTTTTACAGTTAATTAATGTAAAAAAATATGAAAAATAATAGTCATTACTAATAAAATATGATTTACTAGCAACTGCTCTCAAAATTTTCTTTTACTGTAATGCAACCAATATTTCAATAAATATGCAGAAAGATGTAAAGTAATTCATATTATTTTAATTTCGCGTGTATAATTTATTGGGTTAAAATTAAATCAAAATTACAAAAACCATCCTAACTGAATTGTTACAAATCTATACTCAAACTTTTAATGTGAGTAATTACAATTAAGTCCAGTTAATTGCAACAATTTCATAAGTCTTTTTTTTTTTTTTTTGAAAAGTTTAATAAGTAATATATAAATAATTAAATAAGGGAATATAATTAAAATATTCTGATTAAAGGTGGATAAAATTATTCTGTGCCACCCTTAATAGGGTGATAAAAGATATTTTATATTGGTAAATTAGTTAATTTGCGAAAAGTGTGTATTTCCATTTTTAATAATAATATATTGTGGAGATATTTCAGAAGATATTTAGGATAGATTCTTAAAGGGTACTGGCAGTGGGACCCACTTCGTATGGCGTGGATCCCCTTTTTCGACTCTTTTTTATTAATTTATTATTCTGTTCTCCTTTCTATAGCAATGTTGGATATTTTCTCAAGAAACCTACCCCACTCGCGCTTCTACGCGCGTGCCCACGCTCTACTTTGGATATTTTTCTTGCTCATGTTTATTCCAGGGTAACAATGTAATAGTGAAGATGTGACAACTCACAACAGAGTAAAGTAATTATTCTATGATATTTTTTTGTTTTATCCATTGAATATGGGATTGCAAAAAAGTAGGGAATTGCGAAGAAATTTGCAATTTTTAAGACTATTTGTAATGAAAATGATAAATTTGAAACAGCCAGTAAATGGTCCATGTGAAATTGTTTGTAAAAAAAAAGAAAAAACGATTTCACACCTGAAATCGTAATTTGGATGGAAGTGATTTTAAGTYTGATCTGAAACTTTTTTTTTGCGCCTCGTATGAGGTTTTCTCTRCCTTAGGTTTAGTTTCCACCACAAATTTTCTCTTGTCTTTTTTCGACGGCTTTGAATTATTTGCGGCCCTAAAAATACAATGTCTTTTCTTCTACATCTTTTCTTGCTTGTTCATTTCATCCCTACCATTTTCCTCATTCTCGCATCCTTCCTCCCTTGCAATTTTACACTTTTCTTTTTCGGGCTATAAACGTCAAGTTGGGACAACGACAGCGAGCAAATTAGGAGCGATAGAGAACGTAAATCCAACAAACTGCTGACTTGTTAAGACATAACGACAAATGAGGAAGTGTATGGAGAATAGGGACCACTTTTTAAAATCTACAAAATTTAATTTTATATATTAAAAAAGGTGACTAATAGAATATCAATTCTAACAACAATAATAATTTCATTTAGTTTTTTCTTCCTCACATTACACGTAATTGCAAAACAAAATGTTGGAAAACAAATCCACAATAAATAAAAAACCAAAATTGACAAAAGAGAGAAAAAAAAATGCATTTTTCCCTCTAAAAAGTAAAATACCCAACAAAAAGGGAACTATCCCAATTAAAAAAATACACACAAACATCAGAAAAGTATCATCCAAAATTCCGTTTCCTATCTTCTTCGGCACGCGCTCTTCAGTCGCGTGGGCCTCTTCTCCCAGCTCCTCGTCCAACTATATAAAGTCGTTCACCACCGCCATTTTTCCTCTGCACTTCAAAAAAACATCCCCTTTAGCTTTTACAAACTCAAACCAAGATGGCCGATAACAACTCCCGCCGGAAATCTAAAACCAAGCCGTCGGCCACGACGACGACGACCACCACCACCAGCGACGACGGCGGCTTCTCCGACGAAGGCGACGCCGAGGTTTGGGCCTCCTTTGACCAGACTTTCCGGCAGGTCCAATCGGTGCTGGACAGAAACAGAGTCCTGATTCAGCAGGTGAATGAGAACCACCAATCTCGAGTTCCAAGTAACATGGTGGACAACGTGGCCCTCATCCAAGAACTCAACGGCAACATCTCCAAAGTGGTCTCTATGTACTCTGATTTCTCCTCTGATTTCTCCTCTTCTTTCAGAAATGGCAAGAGAGGCAGCAGCAACCAAAATGGTTGAACAAGGCTTCAATTCAAGCCTCCCCCATTTGTCCATTTTGTCAAGCATTTCCCTTCTTCCTTCTTCTTCTTCTTCTTTCCATCTCCTTCAACAATTTGAGTTGTGGGCTGGTTAGAATAAATGCTGGGTGGGTGTGGTGTGGTGTGGTGTCATGTGTAAGCTTGTGGTGGTGTTTTTTTTCTCATTAAAAATGTGTCTTCTTTTCTATGTAACAGTTAATGCATGCATGCTTTCCATCAACATCATTATCTAACATGGCTGTGTCAGACTTCACTGTCTTCTTCTTTGGCTTAGTTCTCCAAGAAGATGGGGAACTTGTCTAATATACAGTAAAGAAAGATAAAGAGAGAACAATATATCAGAAACAAAAGTGCTTCACAGTTTTGATATAAAGTAAAAAGATAAATAAAGACAAGACCCTTTTGGGTTTTCAGACCACAGCACAGACAAACTACAAATATAAGTCTATATTCTAAGTCTCTTAAGATATTATCAGAGCTCTACCTTTTTCCATGTCTTTCTATTTCTGTTCTTTTAATAATAGTCCGTCGGATAGAAAAAGTGATGTATTTTGATATAGAATAAAGACCCATTTTTGAGTTATCAGACCACAGAGAAACTACATATACAATTCTACCTTTTTCATGTCTTTCTGGTGAGATTGGATCAAATATTCAGAGACAAAAGTGCTTCTGTGGTGATCCTTTTTTTTTTTTTTTTTACATGAAGGGTCAAATGCTTTGCTAAAGGATGTGAAGATATTTTAAACCAAATCTACTGAAGAAAGGATATTTTGATATTAGATGGATTTAGTAAGTGAGAATGGGATATATGAAGATTTTTATTCACAATTGTCAATTTTGCAGCCGGCATCTGTTTTGAAAAGTTTTTCTAAATTTGGAATCCACAAAAGAAGATGATGTGCTTATTTTGAAAAGTTTGCTGAATTTAGAATCTCTAAAAGCAAGAGTGTGTTTGTGCTTGTTGTTTTCATGGAAGATGCTCAACTTCAACACCAATCAACCATTTTTAGAAGGAAGATCTAGACATTTTATTTCAAGAGATAAGAGAAGTAAAAACAGCAAACAAGAAAACTCGATCCAGTCTCTTGATTCTATAAAGATAACATTCCATTGTATAGAAATGAAAAACAATTTGAATTAGAACCACGAAATGCCGTGTAATGATCAATTCTAATGTGAAGCTGATGCCTACATCTCATTAGGAGAGAAGTTTGTAGGGAGGGAGGACCTTTGTAGTCAACAATCTGTATTTCCAGAATCATACTGGAAGTTCTCCACTTTCTGAAATGTGTACTTCAGTCTTTGGTTTTCCATCCTGACTTCCTTCAGCTTCGATCTTGAAGATGACATCCATGCCTGAAAGCACTTTTCCAAATACGACATGGTGCCCGTCCAACCTTCCGAGTCGAAATTATGAAATAAACAAACAGATTGTTTAAGCAAGTTCATCCAACAAGGCAATGCGTCAACCTTTGCAAATGAAACAATTACCAGCTAGTTTTTACAGTCGTAATGAAGAACTGCGATCCATTTGTGTCCACCCCGGCATTAGCCATCGACAGAAGTCCTGATAAAAAGCCAGACAGTCATTAACGACAGGAAAATAAGGTTCCACAAGTAAGTTGAAATCTGATATTAGAGTCCTCAAATTCCAGTGTTCAAGCTCGACCAACTAGGCACTTGTACAGATATTGCAGTTCAAATACTATAGTCAAGATTACCTGGACCATCATGTTTCAATTTGAAATTTTCATCGGCAAACCTCCCGCCATATATTGACTCTCCACCTCGGCCATCTCCAAGAGTAAAATCACCTCCCTGTATCATAAAACTTGGAATAATCCTATGGAATTTGCTTCCTTTGTAATGTAGAGGCTTCCCGCTACTCCCAATTCCTTTCTCCCCTATAACAAGATTTTAAGAAGATCAGTTAAAATCTCAAATCTTAGAGATATATTAGCAGAGAACTAAATGAATATTTGCTCCCTAAACCTATTTTTTTTAGAAATCTAATAATTGAAGAGCAAAATTTACTTGGCTACCCGTGCAAAGAGCGCGAAAATTCTCTGCAGAACAAACATGAGGATGTAAAATAGTTAGCAGCCTTACTATTGGAATAGCAAAACACAACCGTCAACAAGAGAACACTAGAATTTAGCTCCTTACCTACGGTTTTAGGGACTGTTTCTCCAAATAGGCCAATGACAACTCGCCCTGAGGTAAAAAAATTGGTTATGGAAGATCTTCATGGGAGTTGTCATTTTTTAATCAATAATAAGCTTCTGGTTCAAAATATAACAGAAGCAAACTTTAGCCATTTTTCTTCCTCTTTCAAGCCTGAAAGATCTCCCAACGACCCAATATAACAGAAGCAAACTTTAGCCATGTTTTTCTTCCCCTTTCAAGCCTGAAAGATCTCCCGACAACCCAATGTTCATCGAGAAACGAAATTTTTCTCGATATTGATCTTTGTAGGAGTCATCACACTTGACACCCAACTACTGCATTTGTATAATACTATTTCATGGTTTCTATTCTAATTCCTCCATTATTACTGATATGGATTCCGGTAGATCACTACACAAGGTGGACAATTAAGTTTGGTAATGAAATGTCATCAAGAAACAAAAATTATCTGATTGCATCCAAAATTTCCCAACATTAATCTTGGCTAGACTTCATTACAAGGACATAACTCATAAGAAAGCTCATGAAAGCACAGGCCAATCTCATACTCTCCTACTTAATCATTTTCATTCCACTAAGAAAGTAATGATTAAAATGGAAATTTATACCTGCTTTTACACTATTTGGTTAAGAAAAGAAAAAAACCCTCTCCCATGGTAGAATTGTGCGATAATTTTGCAAGAGAAAGTAAAAGGTAAGCGGGGTATACCCGAGGGCTTTCCAGCGATTTCGATATCAAAGTATACTCTGCGGGTCACCGTCGCCGGATTCGTCTCCAATTTGGTTTCCTGAAAACATAATCAATCAATAAGGAAACTGAGTTCTGTTTGGTTAAAGAGAAACACAGAAAGTTCTGGAAACCAGCTCAGCTTACCTCATCTTCGACAACCTTTTTCTCGGACGAGACTTCTCCATCGTTTAATTGGCTCTGCGAAAAGCAGAAGATTTAGAAATTGAAATTGGGAACTCAACTCACTGTGATCTTCGTTTAAGATTCAAAAGAAAACAAAAAGGGAAATGGGAAAATTTCACCAGAATCAAGACAATTGTGCCAATCAGAAACAAAATCCACAAAAAGACCGCCGACGATAATCTCCTCATTGTGGTCGCCCCCTCGATCGCCTCAATTTTCAGAAATCCCTCACCGAAGAACTTAAAACAAACAAAGCTGGTCTGAACTTGAATTCAAGAGTAATTCACTATTCTAAAACTTGTAATGATTTAATTCATAGATTTACTTCTCTAATTTATATTCAGAAGGGTGAAATTTGCTAACGATATAGTTTAATCCCAACGTATTTAGGAAAATTGCAATAAATAGATATTTTTCCGACGGAGTATTATTTTTTAGTCATTCTTCTCAAAAACTCTATGTTTTCTAATCGTTGTTGACATCACATGTATACCAAATGACTTTCCCTATCTCTCTACTCTCTCCTTTCTGACTCTCCCTCTCTACTCGCTCTGTCTCTCTCGCTCTCTCTCCCTCTGTCTCTCTCCTTTCTCATCTCTCTCTCCTTTCTCATCTCTCTCTCCTATCTCTCTCTAGCTCTCGATCTCTCCCTCACTCTCTCATCTCTCTTTAGTAGAGGGGCAGTGAAGTCACAGTAAATTTTTAGAAAACTTATGTTTTGAAAAGAGTGATTAGAAAACAAAAAAAGGTCGTGGAGAACGCCTATTCCATCAAATTTCCAATATATTTATTTAGCCTTTTTCAACTCATCTCTCATCTTGCCAATATGAGCCTAGTTTGTTTTAATTGACATGTACTCTTCCTTTCATAAGTTTAATCCTCCATATCTCAAAATTGTTGTACTCCAAAAACGAAAAAAGAAAAAAACTTAACCTCCCATCATTGCTGATTTGAACTCACAAACTTCTTCTCTCATCATTGATAATCCCTCCTTTTTAGGGGTGTTCAAGGAATCCGACGAACCCAACTCAACCCAATGGGTTAAATCTAATGTTGGGTTGGGTTAGTTGGGTTGGATTGGAAAAATCCCAACTCGACTGGGTTAGGTCAAGTCTCGAGTTGACCCTTGAAAATCCCGGATCAACCTGACTCGGCCCGAGATTATAGAATTTTTTTTAAAATAATAATGATCTAATATTACATATAAATAATAAATTATTAATTATTAATTATTAATTAAAATCTTATTTTTTATATTCAATCTCATCCATCCATTTCATTAAATCTCAACCATTGATTTTAGATTTCAATTCAATCCTCTCCATTTTTAATATTTGATTATCTCTCTTTTCTAACATTTTCAATTTCATCTTCCTCTCCCCCATCTTCTCTATAATAAGGTATAAGCTTTTAATATTGTTGAATTAGGACTTACATGTTGATTAAAAATTTGTATTAAATTAGGACTTACATGTTGATTTCAATTAGTATTTGAATTTGTGCTAAGATTTTGATTTTTCTATATTTTTTTTTGGTCTATGTTATAAACAAAAAAAAAAGTAAATTAATTAATAAATTAAAAAAAAAACGAACCCAGCAACCCAACCCAAATGGGTTGGGTTGGGTTGGCCATCGTTTTACAACCCGACGGTTCCCATAAATTCCCAATCTGAAAATTCGGGTTGGTCCCAAAAACACCCCAACCCAACCCAACCCGTAAACACCCCTACACCTTCTTGGGAGGAAGTTAAAATCGAAGAGTTTCTAATAATCCCTTTGAATTTTCTAAGAAAATTATAAAAATTTCAGCTCTTTTTTCCGATTAGATAAATCTTTTAACTTTGTACATTTATGTTATTCACGGAGTATTATATCATCTAAATTTTTTATTGGTCAAATTTAACATTCTTCAACAATGAAGAACTAAATTGGAAATGTTAAAACATAAAAAACTAAATTAAAACTTATTAAARCGTAAATATTAAATTGAAAATATATTCAAATATTGGGTATTAAAATACATATTGAGCTCATAAATTTAATATATATTTAAAAAAATGTCATAAAAATAAAAAATATATATACAACTTAATCATTAGAAGTTAGACATTGCTATTTTATCTTAATAAGAAGTTAGACATTGCTATTTTATCTTAATAACTGGAGGAGCTAAATAATTACAAATTTTAGATTACGGTTTCTAAACCATTACATAGAAATAAATCATTACATATATTAAATAAATAAAAAGATATTTTTTTCCAATATCACTAATTTTTAAATAGTACTTTTAATGTTTATAATAACACCTATATCTTTAAAAATTGTTCATTACAATTCTTAAAAAACATTGTGAAAACAAAAAGATAGAAAATGTTTTGAAACAATAGTCAAAACATTTCCTTTGTGTCCTTTTATTTCTATTTCAAGTGCAACTACTTTGAATTTTCATATTCTCTTACTTTTTCACCCTCAATATCTCTTACAAGGATGTGGGAATTGCTATTTTTGATGTACTTTTTTCAAAATAAATGTAATTCAAAAGTATTGTAAAAAGAAAGATCTTGTTATTATAGACCTAATTAAGTTTATATTATATTTTTAAAACAATATTTTTAATAAATTATTCTTGGTAGATTTATCACTTTAAAAGGGGTTTTTTTTTCTTTTTTTTTGTTTCGAAACCACTATTTAAAAAACTATTTAATGTATATAAGTTATCTTTCTTATACGAGAGATGATTTTGTATATAAACAATTAACTTTTTTTTTAACCAATATGAATATAGCTCAGTGGTTAAGACGTGTATTTCTTTCATTTTCAAGTGTCTTCTTGGATGGTTATASCAGTCCACAGGTGCAAGATGTACCTTGTGTCGGGGAGGGGGCTCCCTATGCCTAGTCTTTTTAGGTAGTAGGCGTTTAGTCCATGGTCCAAAATTTGACTTTTTTTAAGCCATCATTTATATGCACTAAATTAAATAAAGTTATTGATTAAAGAAATAATTTTCATTTGAAAAAGACTTTTTTTTACCTACACTCTTAAATAACATTAATGATATTGTTCCGTATGTGTGTGAGCTTGGCTTTTTGATGTGAGCTTGGCTTTTTGATGTGAGCTTGGCTATCATATGAATGTTATATCTATAAAATAATCATTCTTTAATATATATATATATATATATATATATATATATATTTATATTTATTTATTTATCTCAACTTGTCTTTAATATGTGGTGAGAAATGTCAAATGTAAATTAAATTTTACCAATTTTCAAATTGATAATTTATAGATATCAGCCCAAAAATTAAAACCAATTTGCTAGAAATGAGCAAATGAGTTGAATTTTTKAGCCCAATTGTGATGGGTCTCACAAAATTAATTTCAATGTAATTTCATTATTCGTTTTTATATATTTGGAGTCCTTTATTCAAGCCAATAAATTAACCTATTGGCATCCTAATCAATATTTCGTTAAGGTTAAAAAGGTTCTATTATGCCACTGATCAAAAGTGAGTACTAGTAAAAATTTAGAGGTAAAAGCATTAATCTTTTAAAATTTAGGAATCAAATAGAAACGAAACTCAAAGTTCAAAGGTAAAAATGTAACATTTTGAAACTTARGGACCGAATTGAAACTAAATGTAAAACTTAAGATTAGTAGGGTAACCTTTTGAAACCTAAGAACCAAATAAACACTTAAACTCAAAATCCACGRTRAAAGTGACATTTTATCCCTTTTTTTCCAAAAAAAAATATCATTATATTGACTTTGACAATAATACAACTAGGATCAGTTCTAGTAACCAAAATTAAATAATAATCATTTGTAAATGAAAAATGTTGTTCTCCCAAGTAAACTATGGATCAATATGATTTGAACCAGCCAATTGAAGCCTAATAATGATATATTTGGACTGCATTATATGTCTTATAATAGGTCACATTCTTCTCCCTAATGTCTGATACAACTTGCGGATTCTTATTCGCTCTTTTTTGGCCAAAAGATTTATTACTGGAATGAACTAGTCCTCGTAAAATCCTATTGAATATTTGATGATATATTGTATATTTTTTATACTATTGATTATTAACTTTTTAAAAATCACTAAAAAAGTTTTAATTAATTAATGAATGGTTACRTGTTCACCAATTTATTAGAATATTACATCACAAATGCTAGAGATAAAGACGTATGCTAYCATTTATCAGTCGTTTCTCTAGTGTCCACACTCTTATCTGCAAAAATTTGTACTTTTTTAAGGTCATATTATACAATTACTGTCTCACATAATTAATATATCTCTATTTATTTATTTAAAGAATATAACACTGAAAAATATGTGTATAAGAATCGAATATTTTATCTATCAGAGAGCTTACTAATACTTTAATCATAAMTGAGGAGGTTGTTCATTTATGATTTGATTTCTTTATTTTTAAGTAGTAATATGAGATTAATTTTTTATATATAATCTTGCAAATAAATTTAAGGATAAGATAAAATATAATTCTTCATCCCCTCATCTTTGATGTATTTAAAAAAAATATATTAAATAACTGACGTCATGAATATTAACTCTATTGTCACAACATATAATTTATCTGTCTAATTTCGAAGGTTCTAATCCATCTACTTATATATTGAATTAAAAGATAATAATAATAAATTTAAAAATAAGATACATCGTTCCATATATGTCATTTCCTAATCCTTTTTCCAACATATTTCTTTACATTTTTGTCCTTCCATTAAGCCACTTTAGGTGCTGTATAGTTGAAAAAAAGTGTAATTTCTCTCTTTTCTGTTTTCCTTTTTTTTTATCATGCAAAAATCCAAATTTGAAAAATAAAACCACTCAAAAAGGCAAAAGAGTGTATTTCCTACGCGGACAAGAAAGCTAATCACGAATCATAATCCATCATTTTCTTCTTAAGCTAATGATAATTATTGTAATTTTGAATTTAAAATTGTGATGTTTACAAAAGGAGACATAATTGAAATGATCAGCCATTGCTGAAGTGGTATCTTTATATAAAAGCAAAGGTATATAATATATTAACTATGCGTATAAAAATTGCATCTACATATATTATGATTAATATCAACGACTTTAATCGAAGCAAGTTCAATCGGTAAAAATACTTATTATCATCTCAAAAGGTTGATGGTTTGAAAATCGAAATGAAATAAGAAAAAACGTCAATTTTAAAACTTAGTAATATTTAAGGGATTAGTACATTGATGGGCAATTTAAATATCCTAATTACATAAAAGATGGAAGGTATAGAATTTACACATTTGTTATTTTAAGAGGATACCCATCACATAAATTACTTAAATATCCTTTTGTATCTACGTATTAATTTTAAATTATTTTTAAAATGCAAAATTGATTAATTGAAAGGTTATAATTTGGATCTCATA